ATGGATACCTGATATACTATATACCTGGATACCTGATATACTACACACCTGATATACTATATACCTGAATACCTGATATACTACACACCTGATATACTACACACCTGATATACTACACACCTGATATACTACATACCTGGCAGGAGTAAACGTGACTCTGCGCCTCCTTCGTGAGATGCTTCAGCGTTGAAACGAGGTCGCCGCACTTGACCTTGAGAAGGTCGCGCAGCGAGAACGTGTGCAGCTCGCAGAGAAGGTGCTGCGGTTGGTCTCGAAACTCCTCCTTCAGGCTGCAAGAGCAGGCGGAGAAGCTACGTACGTGGGGGGGGGGAATCATCAACGTGGCCAACAGACGGGGATGAGAGACAGCAGATGCAGTAGATGCAGAAGTACGAATCGCAACCGTATTTCCTACCAGAACTGCGTCGTCCTCTAATGTTGCTTCGCGCGGTAACTACTTACGTGGAGAGTCAACATCGACGACAGACAGAGACGAGAGAAGTAGACGCAGAAGTACGAATCGCGACCGCGTTTCCTACAAGAACCGCCTCATTTCAGGCGATGCACTGACGCTCTCTCTCTTCCCCTCTCTAAAATTGCTTAGCACGGTAGGGCAGACAATGGGAACTACGTGGGGGGTCAACGTGGCCGACGGACGGGGGCAAGAGACGTGAAGACACAGAAGTTAGGAATTGCAACGGTATTTCTTAAGCGAGCCGCCTCATTTTAGGTGATACTCGCTTCTCCTCTAAAATTTCTTCGCGCGGTAGGACAGATGGTGGGAACTACGTGGGGGGTCAACGTGGCCGACAGATGTAGACAAAAAGACGTAGACGCGGAAGTACGAATCGCGACGGTATTTCCTACCCGACGTGCCTCAGCAGCCGACGCAGAAGTACAAAAACGCCTTTCCTATTTAAATATATTCCTATTTCCTACCTGAACCGCCTCATTATAACTGCTACTCTCTCGCTTCCCCCCCCCTCCCCTAAAATCGCTCCGCAGCACAGGACAGATGCCAGCTGATGCGCGTGCGGCTATTAATAAAGTATTATAAGATAACTCGCGAATAGTACAATCACGACACCGGCGACCGGTGAAACGACGTTGCCTAACGTGCGTCGACGGCTCTCGCGTTACGTGGCGGAAAAAATCTGCCAAAAAAATCTGCACGCACCTGCCGACGTGCCGGCACGTGCTAACGTAGTCCTTTAGGTGACACAGCTGCTGTCTGTACTCGCACACAGAACTCATCGCACGAACTTTCCTGTACAGCGTTGCGTTTATGTCCTGAACGTTGAACAACGGATCTCTGAAATACGATGACTCTGATTAAACTGATATATGAGAGCACTGAGAAAAAAAATATTATTACAAAAATAACATCAGATTCCATCCTGAACGTTGAATAACAGATCTCTGAAATACGATGATTCTGATTAAGCCGATAAGTGAGAGAAGCACTGACAACAAAAATATTAAAAAATAACACCATATTCTATACTGAGCATCGGAAATGTGTAACATTTCTACGCGATATAAAATTTTAGTTTGTAAAGATTTTACGCGGTGGCTTGATAATTCTCTGTAAAATACTTGATTAGCAGAGTGTTGGGTAACATTAACTGATTTACGGACAGCTCGGCATGAAATGCTAGAAAAGTGTATTAATTAACTCAACTACGCACCTGAATATATTATGGATGAGCTCATTAGCGAAATGTGACACAGGATATTTCGAAAATTCCCACTTGCGCAGAATTCGGCCAGGAATGATGGATAGTTGGTTGCTATGACAACACTGGCAGAAGTACTTTCCAGTGTACTCACAGTAGCGATATCTCTTGATGTAATCTGTGTAAAAAGTTCGACGTGTTACCTCTCATGATTATATCTACCATCGAAATTAACAATGTCATGACAACGTGTACGATTTCCATAAAATTTTATTTAAAAATTTAACTCATTAACCTGTTAACAGTGAATTGACAAATGAGAAATGTGTAAATGAGTAAAGGGCACTTCATTTCCCATTCATATCAGGTATAGCCCATATATCCACATAATAATAGATAGATAAATAGATAGATAGATAGATACAGAAGACACAGTCTGACAGACACATCCACACACTGTATACCAATCAATATGTTGAACTTACAATCTGTCTCTCTCTTTGTCTACATGCATTTATATTTTTTACATAATACAATTGCATAGACCGCCAACAAAAATCATGTAGTACCGTAGTACGTGTAAGCTATATATGAACATAAATATTTAAAGTGTGTTAACTTATCACAATGTATTCGTTGTTTAATTATGATAAATTATTAGCCTCGTTCACACGAGACCTAGTATTTCTGAAATACCGGATTTGCGAAATACCGTATCTAAGACAAATACGCGGCCGAGCGTTCACACGCTGATTCGCGGCTCCAGAAATACGGTATTTGCGAGCTGCGAGCTGCTTTAGTAATAATCAAGCGAACAATGCGAAATAAACAATGCAATACGTACCAACTGCTGATAAAATACGTAGACTGGTCCGCGCTCGACAGTTCCACTCGCGTTACACTGGAACTGTCGAGCGCGGACCAGTTTTAAAATACGCGGCTTCAGAAATCCGGTATTTAGCGTTCACACGAGGAAATGCGCGGTCCAAGAAATCTGGTATTTCTCAAGCACGGCAAATTATTCGGGGTCTGGGAAGTCTCGTATTCACATGAAATACCGGATCTGTAATAATTTATCATATTATTAACAACGAATACATTGTGATAAGTTCAACACAATTATTAAAATATATATTAAAACTATATAAATATATTCACTTGTAAATATTTATTGTTCATATATATAGCTTACACGTACTACGTACTACAGTGCATAATAATGTCTATTGATTTTGTTGGCGGTCTATGCAATTGTATTATGTAAAAATATAAATGCATGTGTAGACACAGAGAAAGACAGATTGTTAGTTCAACATATGATTGGTATACAGTGCTGTGGTTTGTGTCTGTCAGACTGTGTCTTCTGTATTATCTATCTATCTATTTATCTATTCTATTATTATGGTGGATATATGGGCCTAATACCTGATATGAATGGGAATGAAGTGCCCTTTACTCATTTACACAGTTTCTTATTTGTCAATTCACAGTTAACAGGTTAATGAGTTAAATTTTAAATAAATATTTATGAAATCGTACACCGTTTTCATGACATATGTTTAATTGATGGTAGATGTAATCATGAGAGGTAACACGTCGAACTTTTACACAGATTACATCAAGAGATATCGCTACTGTGAGTACACTGAAGTTACTTCTGCCAGTGTTGTCATAGCAACAACTATCCATCATTCCTGGCCGAATTCTGCGCAAGTTGGGAATTTTCGAAATATCCTGTGTCACATTTCGCTAATGAGCTCATCCATAATATATTTCAGGTGTGTAGTTGAGTTAATTAATACACTCTTCTAGCTTTTCATGCCGAGCTGTCCGTAAATCAGTTAATGTTACCCACACACTCCGCCTAATCAAGTATTTACAGAAAATTATCAAGCCGCCGCGAAAATCTTTACAAACTAAAATTTTATTCGCGTAGAAATGTTACACATTTCCGCATGCTCAGTATAGAATATGGTGTTTATTTTTTAATATTTTTTGTTGTCAGTGCTTCTCTCACCTATCGGCTTAATCAGAATCATCGTATTTCAGAGATCTGTTATGCCAACGTTCAGGATGGAATTGCTGTGTTATTTTTGTAATAATATTTTTTCTCAGTGCTCTCATATATCAGTTTAATCAGAGTCATCGTATTTCAGAGATCCGTTTTTCAACGTTCAGGACATAAACGCTACGGCTGTACAGAAAGTTCGTGCGATGAGTTCTGTGTGCGAGTACAGACAGCAGCTGTGTCACTTAAAGGACTACGTTAGCACGTGCGGCACGCTCGGCAGGTGCGTGCAGATTTTTTTTGGCAGATTTTTTTCCGCCACGTAACGACGAGCACGTCGACGCACGTTAGGCAACGTCGTTTCACCGGTCGCCGGTGTTCGGTGATTGTACTATTCGCGAGTTATCTTATAATACTTTATTAATAGGCCGCACGCGCATCAGCTGGCATCTGTTCTATGCTGCAGAGGCGATTTTAGGGGGGGGGGGAGCGAGAGAGTAGCAGTTATAATGAGGCGGTTCAGGTAGGAAATAGGAATATATTTAAATAGGAAAGGCGTTTTTGTTACTTCTGCGTCGGCTGCTTAAGGCCACGTCGGGTAGGAAATACCGTCGCGATTTGTACTTCCGCGTCTACGTCTTTTGTCTACATCTGTCGCCACGTTGACCCCCACGTAGTTCCCACCATCTGTCCACACCGCGAAGAAATTTAGAGGAGAAAGCGAGTATCACTAAAATGAGGCGGCTCGCTTAAAAATACCGTTTGCAATTCCTAACTTCTGTGTCTTCACGTCTCTTGCCCCCGTCCGTCGGCCACGTGGACCCCCCGTAGTTCCCATTGTCTGCCCTACCGTGCTAAGCAATTTTAGAGAGGGGAAGAGGGAGCGTCGGTGCATCGCCTGAATGAGGCGTTCTTTGTAGGAAATGCGGTCGCCGCATTCGTACTTCTGCGTCTACTTCTGCTCGTCTCTGTCCGTCGTCCACGTTGACTCCCCACGTAAGTCGTTCTCACCGTCTGTCTTACCACGCGAAGCAACATTAGAGGACGCAGTTCTGGTAGGAAATACGGTTGCGATTCGTACTCTGCATCTACTGCATCTGCTGTCTCTCGTCCCCTGTCTGTTGGCCACGTGTGATGACTCCCCCCCCCCACACGTACGTAGCTTCTCGCCTGCTCTTGTAGCCTGAAGGAGGAGTTTCGAGACCAACCGCAGCACCTTCTCTGCGAGCTGCCACATTCTCGGGCGCGCGACCTTCTCAGGTGAAGTGCGGCGACCTCGTTCAACGCTGAAGCATCTCACGAAGGAGGCGCAGAGTCACGTTTACTCCTGCCAGGTATGTAGTATATCAGGTATCCAGGTATGTAGTATATCAGGTATCCAGGTATATAGTATATCAGGTATCCAGGTGTATGCCACGTATGTAGTATATCAGGTATCCAGGTATATGCCAGGTATGTAGTATATCAGGTATCCAGGTGTATGCCAGGTATGTAGTATATCAGGTATCCAGGTATATGCCAGGTATGTAGTATATCAAGTATTCAGGTATATGCCGGGTATGTAGTATATCAGGTATCCAGGTGTATTCCAGGTATGTAGTATATCAGGATCCAGGTATATGCCAGGTATGTAGTAATCAGGTATCCAGGATATGTATATATATTAGGTATCCAGGTATTGCCAGGTATGTGGTATATCAGGTATCCAGGTATGTATAGTATATCGAGGTATCCAGGTATATGCCAGGTATATAGGTCGTCGGTCGTTCACGCGGCAACGGTTATGCTGTGTGTGGGTGTCGCTGCTTAAATTACCAGTTCATAAGCAGATTATCCTTCGTATTCAGGGCTATGTCAATGTGAACGTGAGGTTTAGAGTATGGACGGATCGTTAGTTTTCTGGTGATGTTAGTGCAAACTGCTGATCGGTTTTGCCAGTGGTAGTCGATTTTTATCGCAAATTTGTCGTATTTGTAAATTGTCGATTTTTGTCGTCTTTTCGTGTTGCTTTTTTTGTTCTGACTTTGTTTGATGTTTTTTTTTTATCAAACCAAAGTTCGGTTAGTTGAAGAAGGATCTAAAATGTCTATTATTTAAAGAGTTGTTATTGTTACACGGGAACAGCATGCATGATTAAAAGATGCAGTAAAATTTAAGGTTTTTCTCTCACTTTTGCAGTTATGTCACGTCAAAGGTTTTATCTGTGAGTTTTGTCAAGACAGCAGCAGCATTATCTATCATTCGAGTGAAAAAGGTCACCCAGTGTCACCGTAAGTGCGATTAACAAGTATTTCTAACTCCTGCCAAACTATACAGTTCTATAGTGCACATATGAAATTGTCGTTGCCGCACCACATCTACATGAAATCCTTGCAATTTCTGTTCAATTTTTATATCACCCGTTTTGTACTTATTTCTATTGCAAACCAAAGTTTCTATGGGGAAGGCAGTAATTTCAACATGAATGTTATATATAACGAATGGCCTATTACCTGTTGGTTACCTAAATCAGTGTAAATAGGTTCCAAAATTACAGGTTAAATTTTATTACGTGGTGGTTATTATTATACCCACGTGATGCTTTTATGGTTTTCTACGTGATTAACTAAAACAGAGCAATACATAATTTATTGTTTTGTATTTGTTGCCTTCAATTGTACGTTGTTATCAGCTAAATGAATTGTAAGATTTCTTTTCGCAATGCTGTCCTACTCCCTGCTGCGGTGGGTCAAGAATGTAGTTACTTCATATTGGTTTATTTTCGTCATCGATTTCAGTGTGTGAACGTGCTTCCATAAGAAGTGCTACGTCGCGCCAGCGGTGCCCACGGTGCGGAACGCATTCAGCGAGGTAATGCTGCTGCAGCTTCACACACACCACGCACGCACGCACGCACGCACGCACGCACGCACGCACGCACACACCACGCACGCACGCACTCACGCACGCACGCACGCACGCAGCGCACACACACACACACTCACACGCACTCACACACGCACGCAACGCACGCACGAACACACACACACACAACACAACACGCCACACACGCACACACACACATAGCTCTAGCTACAGCTGCATACAGACATGCACTAAAAACATGGGGTGTGGGCCAGGGATGCATATAATTATGTGTTTGTGGCGTGTGTGCATGAGACTGTGTGTAAGGCTAGGCGATGTTCATCAGCTCGTGGAGTGTTATTATAACTGGCTGTAATAGTGGGAAGTTATTTAGGACCTTTTTGCAGTGCCAATATCAATTAGTGCATCCCTAGTTACAAATCAAGGATGGGGCACAGCCACCGAAAGTTTTGTGAAACACTTGCAGGTTCGTATAATCTCTCTGGAGAAATAATTTTGATGGTCGTGTTTTAATCTGATTCGAAATAATTTTTTGTATGCAAGACAGCTGCGTTATAAAGTGTAGCAGCTGTAATATAAGGCATTCTGTGTGCCAGCCTTAACACTAGTTTTGACTGGTCCTTGCCATAGGCACCAAGAGTGTATAATATAGACAGCATATTATTACACTATGCTACGATATATTATATAACTATACATTATATTATACAATACATACACTATATATTTAACATATATTTACTACAGGTATTATGCATCTATATTTTATTACACCCTGATAGCACTATGTTTGAGTCAATACGTACAGTCTGGGTGGTGCAGAAAAATTGCCAAACGAAAAATGCTTACTGGTAGCTATTGGAATCAATGATCACTTAAGTTTTCGTCAGAAATGTGCCCAAAAAGGGGAAAAAATCTCAAGGTAATGTACTGCCTAGTAATGTGAAATTAACTCTCGTGAAATGCAGAGGATTTAGACCGTCGATATAATATATATATATATATCATATGTATATATATATAATATTGTATATGATATATATGTATATTATATATATATATATATTCTGGTTGTAATTCACTGTTTATAATGAGATGGCTAGAACATCTAATCTGATTGGGCATGACAAATCCATGACGTATTCAAATGAAAGGAGCTTTCACGGATTGTATAATTTATGTAGATACAGTTTTATTGCTTTTTTTTTAAACGAAATGGCAGCCCGATTTCAATGCACACATGCATGCACGCACACAATATATAATATACGATCATATCATGTACAGAATTCTGATGAAATCGTATATGGAATTATCATGTTTTATTTATATTTTTTGGCTGGCCTGTCAGTCCGGAGTCGATCACCGAGAAAAGACGTGAATTCCCGAGCGAATTCAGGAACACATATCTTTACTGAAATGGCTGACACACGGTTTAATCCTAACAGCCCACTGCTTATAATCGTTAGCATACGGGTAGGAACTACCGTAACTGAAACACACACACAAAAATCCTCACTCAATATACTTCACGTTTTTCTTTTTTTATGTCTTTTGTTGTTGCTCCGCCGTTGTAAGATCTCT